AATGGGAATGGCCACACCAATGGGAGCTCGAACACCTCACGGTGGAATGCGCACACCAGGCTGCTGGAATTTTTTGCTGATTTGTTGAATGTTTCAGGTGCAATGGAGTGGTTCTTTGTTGACCCGTTTCCAGTTCCCCTTTGTGAAAATTGCTGTGTATTTATGATATTGTCTTAGTTGCATTGATGTGCAAGTGTCATGTATTATTATGATTTATTATGTATACGAATTATGCACATTATTGATCTATCCAAGCACAAAGCATTCTGTGTTGTTGAATTGGATTGAAAAGCAATGCACACGCACCGCTCTCGCAGGAATGCGCACTCCTGGTTATGGCACACCACACACGTTTGGGCACTAAGTTGTGGGACAAAGCCCTGGTACAAGTCTTGCTTGGTATTTTCATCAGCGAAATTTGGGAATTAGTTTAGTTGTTCACCCATACCAGAATCCCATTTATATTGTTGACAGTTGTAGGACATTTGATGTGTGCCCCCTGCACTTCACGTTCATTTTTCTCGACAATGCTTGCCATTTTTGGAGGTTTGGGCAGATTTGGTGGGATTCGGGGGTTGGGTATGCTCGGTATGCTCACCTGATCTGGTATCCAGGTCTGGGACTTGGGAGGTCTTCTGATCTCACCTGAATTGACCCCCGTGACCACCCGTTGTTGGCTATGAATTCTCTAAGAAATCTACCGGGCTCCTGGTGATTTCCACTGAATCATATGATATTCCAATTGCCATCGTGGCCATAAGTTGGGGGCCCAATCGGGTCCCAATTTGGGAATATGAGGAAATCATTCATCATGTCTGAACATATAATCATTTGAATCGTTTGTATGTATAATCATGAAATATCTATGGAATATGATCATCACCCAACAATTTCTATGGATTTCTATGGATTTTCTTGGGTCATCAGATTGCCATATTTCCACAACCCACACAACGGGCACCTGGTGTCACTGTCCGTGTCACCGTCCTAGGCCCATGACACCCCACAGCGTGGGCGGCTCGTTGAACGAGCTGGGCGAAGCGCGCGGCACGGTCCTGGCAGTGAAGTTGGACAGGCGCGCTATGGGAATAGAATGGGAATATCATGGGATAATTTGGGATATGTAATCTGGGATAAACTTGATAATTTGGGATAATTTGGAAATTTGGGTCCATCATTTTATTTACAGTATTTATATCATGGTGACACATCATATCATGGGGGTATACCATGGGAATATCTAACTGAGAATTAAGGGATAAAAGGGATGATTTGGGTGTGTCTGAGAAGTTTTTTTTTCCTCCACCATTTATGATCATTTTGATGTGGAAACAATAATGACAAACCATTAGAATATTGGGCCGTTGGGGTAGCCTGACACACCCGAATGGGTTCAAGAATTGCAATCTCAAAGATTAGGATTTAAGAATTTAATCTATTGATCAGGAATGATCAGGGTTTAGGGAAGACCCAACCAATTTTGGGGATCAAAATCGTGCTTTCCGATTAAGTTTTCCCCTTAAAATCGATTGGAACAAGATGGGTTGTGATTGCTTGTCATGTGGCTGACGAAATAACACTCACACGACCTTTATCCACGATCGTCCGATATGTGTGTCACTGGTGATTGTGACCAACGATGTCCAAGACAACCAAGAATCAGTATTAGTATAGTATTGTATATATATATAATAATAATATGTATATATATATATATCACAACCAGATAGATTCATTGGTGAAATTTATATGTGGGTCTGTTCAAACATGTCTTGGATTTCTGTTCAAACATGATTTTCAAGATCGTGGGATTTTTGGGGTACCCTCTGGTACATTAACAGTTTGCTCTGGACAATCACCATTTTTAAGTTCGGTAAATCAACTATTTCAATGGCCACTTCCAATAGCTAAGCTTAGTCACTACCAGAGGGTAGCCCATTTTCAGATCATGTCAACCCTGGATTAATAACCCCCGTTTACGGCTGTTGAATTGGGAAGGTACCATTTAATTAAGTATCAAATCAGGAGTATTGGGGGAATACCACCCTAAGTAATAAACCATGAGTAATTAATCTGTAGCCAACATGTCCATCCACTTCCGACAAAAATCCTTCGCCCAGGATCATGGACAGTGTGACCGGTCAGACGGTGCGCAACCGGTCGATGCCGCGATGGAAACATCGAGGGTTGTTTGACCAACATGTCTTAAAATGACAGGGACAAGGTTCCGAATTCTTCTTGGTGATTTTCCCGTATCCCATGAACATATCATAAAAGGGTTTAAAATCGGGACAAGGTTTGATGACCGATAGATTTGTCGGAGGGTGATTCTCCATAATGAACTTGCGGTCCCACTTGACAATGTTTTACGGGTGGCTGAATTGTGCTCCGATTTGGGTCGAAAAGATGAAAAGATCCGAATGCCAGGTGTCAGATCAATTACGCTTGCTGGTTGCATCATGTTGACATGTTGCATCATTGGATGGTTACCCTCTGGTAATTTAACATAGCTATGGACAATGGCCCATTTATAGTTGATTTACCTATTAAAATGGTGATTTTCTATAGTTATGTAAACGTTTACCAGAGGGTATTGGTTGGTGTCATGTCCCCCAAATGGGCGGTCAGTAGGTTTTTTGGTTCTGCAGGAACATCAACTGATTTCATCTGATGTGTTTCCGAAGACTAGTAAGTCATCAAGTCGTCAGCAATCAGTTGTTAGTTGCCATAAGTTGCCATAAGTTGCCATAGATCATGCATTTTACTAGATTGCCAGTTGATTATCACAATTAATTCATAAATTCACTAAGATATACTAAGATTATCAATGATATAATCCACATTTTTCTGCTTCGAACAGGTCAATGGGTTTTTGGGCCTCAACGTCCCAGTCCCAGTCCCAGGTCAATGTCTCGTCGCCAGGTCATGGATCCGAAGGGTTATCTGACAGATCTGAACGCCCTACAGGTCCCGTGGGTCCCCGTGGGTCCCCGTGGGTCCCCGTGGGTCCCCGTGGGTCCCCGGTGGTCCCCGGATGGCCATGGGGGCCTGGTGGGCCTGGTTGGTGGTGACTGGAACCATGGAATTTTGAATGACTGGAACCAGAAACAGTTGGGAATGGAACAATCATCCCAACTGACGAACTCAGTCCATCATTTTTCAGAGGGGTAGGTATACCAACCACCAACCAGCATATACATGTGGTTCTGCGCGATGAAGAAACCAGGTGCAATCAGATGCCGATATCAGCGACATTAAGAAGGCTCGACTGCTCAGGATCAGCAGCTTGTGGTGGGAATATCTCGGCATATACTGGGATGGAGTTCAGCCCATGAAAGTAATCCTTCCTAAAGTCTCATCAAAACATTAACATTGTTCATGGGGATATGATGGGGATATAATGGGCTAATAATGGGGATACCCTCTGGTAAAGTAACATAACTATGGAAAATCATCGTTTTTAATGGGTAAATCCACTATAAACGGCCATTTTCAATAGCTATGTTAAATTACCAGAGGGATAGGGTATACCCTGATCATTAACATTGATCAACTCGTTTCTGTCTTGTGGGGGACCCCTGTTGAAGACTTTGCTTCTTCGACCATTGTCGCCTCGAGGCCCGAACGCTGCTGAAGAGTGTGATCACCAGCAATCCGAAGCACGGACCCGGTGAAGAGCTCAGCTTCGGAGCTACAAATTTTGGTGGGAAAAAACTACTAAAGCTGACATCAATGGCTTCGAGGGGGCTACATAACAGAACATTTTCCCAACCTTTCATGATTTAAAGCTGGTCATGTTCGAAATGAAGTTGTACAACGGCAAAGTCATCTAAAATCTATGGTTTGGGGAAGGAATTATCCACCAACACATCTATGTCAGGCAGGAAATCTAGTTGAAGATGATGTTCTCTGAAATGTGGATTTTCCCCAGGTTTATCTACTGAGGTGTACGGAGTACCTCCCAAGTTGATCCAAATTGGGCGATCCACAAACTATGAATGAACGATGGATGTCAGTGGAATCACCACCTGTTGCGCCATGCCGGCTCCTTTTGGCTCAAAACCAGGACATTTTGGGCGACCTTATTGGGATGGGATGCAACGAACCCCGAACCGGTCACAACCAGTCCTTCGATCCACAGCCAACGGATGCCATCGGTGGATTTGTTTCGAGAAAATGACTGCAGGGTTGCAAACTTGAGAAGCCAAGAGAGCCCTTTCGACCGGGTTCAACCCGTAAAGTATAGTTAATATTCAAGAAGTTGCACCAAGCTCATCCGAAAAGAGAGATTTATTTTGGGTACTCATGGTAATAATATGCAATTGGACACGTTTTGGAGTACCCAAAGACTTCACTCATAGCCATAGATTGTGGTCCAAATGATCAAACGGACGTCGCCAGTATCATAAGGCCTGGGGAAGCATTGAAAGTAACGTATTCTGTCCCTTTCACATGGAATATGCTATAACATGCTATAACAATATAATATATTATATATATATACTGTTATATGTCCACCATATATTGAATTTGTAGGGTAAGATTAGCATGTATTAGATGTATTAGCATGTATCTATGTTAGACTTTAAATTCACATTATGCCTCTTAGTTTTGCATGGTTATCATAGTCACACACACACACTCTACACCTCCACACCCCCAGTTTTTCGATGAGATCCACCGACTATACGTACTCTACAGCTCTAGTTTTTGCGCTGAGGAACTAAAGGTTCTTGGGTGCAAAGGAGCTATGGACATCGATCTTCCCCATTCAATCGGGAGCCAAGGAGTTGCTTTCTCTTGGTTTCCGAACAGTTTGCCTGGGGAGAATGGTCATTTATCTGGGTAAATTATAACGACCTCACTGCGACCTCACTGGAATCATGGTTTATAAGGGAAATCATCCCCAAATGGCCTTAATTCAGGTTAGTGAAATATTATAATTTACCCAGATTTTGGATCAGCACTAGAAGTGAAAGCCAACTTAGTCCAGACGCGCCATGGCATCTGTGCCGTGTGTGCGGCGGTCTCCGCCGTTGCTGCGCCTGGTCGGCGTGGTGACCACGCTGTGCGGGGCTTCATGGGTGACTTGACCGTGGCCGTGGCCGTGATTTGTGGAAGATGGGGATGGATCAAGACCACTTATGGATGTTCTATGACAAGATTCTATGATAGAAAAACCGCTGGTAATGAAACGTAGCAACTGAAAATCGCCTTTTTTAGATTATTTTCCCATTTAGAACCTCCATTTAGTTCGAAGATTTTTCATTGCCATGTTTGATTGCCGGAGGATAATCGAAGTTCTATGACTATGATATTTAGTGGGTTTATATATATATATATATGCTTATAATAACTTATAATGGGATAGTAGGGTGACTATAATGAGGATAATGGGGAGTAAAAAAGCAGTATGCCTATGGCTCATTCTGGAGACATGAACATCCTTTTACCAGCTATTTGGGTTCACCACAGGTTTTTCACCCACACCGAGATCAGTTTGTCTAAAGCTATATCGGCGTCTCACCAGCATATTCGAAGATTGGGTTGTGACCAACAAACATGTTGTCCCTGAACATGGTAGATTTATACCATAGAATACATGGCCATAAATAAACAGTAGGACATAGTGAGGAAGAAGCATGGGATTTGGGTACCCCGTGTTCTGACGAAGCTATATCAGGAGGATACTCATGCCGCAGAATCCGGACTCAAATCATTATGTATGGATTATTTTCCACTACTTTGACCGGAGGGTAACAAGCAAATAACATGAGCCAAGGCTTAAGGAGTCACCCAGTCAAGACTGGCTTCGACTGCACAGCTGCAAGGATTAAGAGACCAAGAAACACTATCTTCCAAACCTGCTTTTTAGGGTTCAGTTCTATGTAAGACTTGAATTCAGCGGATTCAGCAGAAAACAGGTTCGTGAATTCAGCAGCATCTCTCGCGCCTGCTGAAAGTTAAAGCAAGTGAATCGTACAAGCGAGTGGTGGACCTCCAAAATGTACTTGTGTAGATATAATCATGACAATGATATATATATATATAATTATATTATATAATTAAACAATTACACATAATTACTAGATCTGACATCATACATCATCATACATGATATGTTATGATATGACATCATAAATAATCACACATATACATACATTACATATATAATTCATATATATATATATATATGGTAAATAATTCATATATATATATATATATGTATATATATAGGGCGAAGGCTGGGGGTTCCCCGGAAGCCAATTGCAATTTATCTGTATGGATCTGCAAAATGTTGATTTTACACTGTATTTTACAATGTTTTTTGTCTTTCCTTCAAAGTGTTCCATCAGTGAAAGTACCAATGTCGGCGCGGATAAACTCGGAGTTTGTCCACGCAGAAAAATGATAGATTTACATCTTCCATGGATGGCCAAAAATGTGTGCAACATTTTTCTCATTGGAATTGCAGCTTCATGCATTTTTTGAGTTTTTGTTGATAAGTACAAAATGTCATAATTCACTGGAGAACCATGGACGAAATGAACATCACATCTTTTTCATCTTCGCGTCCACAAACCTTTTTTTGGCATGGTGATGGAAAATGTTGTTTTCACACTGTGTTTTACTGTGTTTTATGTTTTTCTCTGAAATTGTTTGATCAATCGAAGTTCCATTTTCATCGCGGAAGAACTTGACGTTTGTCCGCGCCGAAACAGGATAAATTTAGATCTTCCATGGATGACTAAAGATGTGTGGAACATGCTAACCATTGGAAGTGCGGTTTCATGCATTTTTGGTTGTTCTGTTGATAAGTCGAACATGTCATAATTCACTGGAGAACCATGGACGAAATGAACATCACATCTTTTTTATCTTCGCGTCCATGATTTTTTTTTGATGGCGATGGAAAATGTTGTTTTCACACTGTGTTTTACAGTGTTTTATGTTTTTCACATGACGTTATTACACCACCCCCCACCCCCCCACCCCCCCTTCTGTAAACAACAACGAAACTTTTCAACGTAACAACCATCTTCAAACCAAGCAACATCTTCCAGGATCAAAATCATCCAACGACATCTCACATGAGTTATTCAACACCCCCCCCACCACACCCCCCACCCCTTCTGTAACAAACCACGAAACGTTCAACGAACATCCATCTTCCAACCAAGCAACACTTCCAGGATTCAAACATCATCCACGCACTTCACATGACGTTTATTACACACCCCCCCACCCCCCCACCCCCCTCTTTATACAAGAACGACCTTTATGGTATAGCATCAAGACTGAGGGTTCCTCGAAGCTCCGGGGAACCCCCAGCCTTGAGCCTATATATATATATGGTATTATATGGTAAAATTAACATATATATATATACACATAATTCATACACACATATATAAATTATATAGTTCATACAGAATTATATAGAGCCTATATCCTTTCGACATCTTGGTTCAACCAAGGCCTTCGCCCGTCGTCCCAGCCTTCTTCGCCCCTCGTCGCGCGGCAACGCGGGCAACGCGGGCAACGCGCTGACGCCGCAGCAACTCACAGGGCGCTTGAAAGCGGCGGAGACCTCCAACCACCTCCTTTTCCTGGCGCCTTGGCGGCGGTTGGTCCGTGAAACATATGGGCTTTTCCATGAGTTTAATGTGAAAAGCCCATGGGTTTGATGGGGTTGATGAAATAGCTATTTGTGTCTGGTTGGTGGTTTCAAACATGTTTTTTTCCATAATTTATGGGATGTCATCCTTCCCATTGACTTAATATTTTTCAATATGGTTATTGCACCACCAAGCAGTTGTAGAATTCCCTGAATGGGATGATGCAAACGATGCCCATCCATTGATGTTTTTTTTTGGGATGATTCTTCAAATTATATACACAAGTGGGAACACACACACACATGTATTTACCATCCAAAATGCTGAGGGCATGGATGTGCATCTCACACAACAAGTGGTTTCTCAACTGATCTGTAACCTTTCTAGAACTGCGGAACCATAAATGTCACTGGGGGTACAGGTATTACCCACTTCCTAGCTGCACCTCCATTTTTGAGGGAACAGATTGATGGATGTTTTTTTTTTTTTGGTGGGATAATTACCCAAGAAATTTCAGCTTATTCAGCCATCCGTTTTGGACTACTGGGTTGATGGATAGACATTCTACGATATTAGTTGTATTGTTGTGAGATGGGACAATCGCTTAAAAAACACTGACGAAAAACAAAAATCAAGAACTGTGGGGAGAGCCACCACTCAGTTTGTTCTTGCAACCATTGGTGGGTACATGGATGTAAGTTGCAACTGTTATTTGTCCTTAAAAACCCTCCAGTCTCCCGTAACGTAGCCGTATTTTCATGGTGGAATGAGGTAGAACAGTACGAGAACGTCCTGAACGAGTACCGTGGCTGTCGTGGATAGCCATCCCCAAAATCACCATAAATGGATGGTATAAACCATCCCCAAATGGTAGGTTTATTATTGAGTTCCCCCTATAGTAGCCTATTACAGATTCGACATAGTCACACATTCAATACATCCGAATACAACAAATCCATAGTGGTGAGTAAACTCTCATGATCAATGCTACTCGAGCAGATTTCCGGGACGAGCCATGACATGAGACACCGAAAGGCAGATGTTCCCTGGTCAAAGATTTTGGAGATGCAACAGTGTACCATCTGGCGAATATTTCGATTTTTCAGAAATGACTGTCCATTCCTCTGTGGCTTTTGGTGTTCCTCAATGCCTCTTTTCTTGGTCTTTTCCTTGTAATTTTCCTCTACCAAGCAGACGCTCGCCATTTTCCAAGGATGATCCTCAAATGATTTTTGTTTCCCTCTGAAAAAAGTTTGTCAACGATGATCTCCAATCCAAAGAAGAAAATCATCTCCAATACCCAATATCCATCAATATCCACCATCCAATTCTTCCGAATCTTTATGGATATGATATGATATCAATATATATATATATATATCTATTATCCATATGTCCATATCCAATATCAATCAATTGGATGATGGAATTGATTGGATATTGATTGGATGTTGGATATTGCATATTGTTTTTAGCCACGTCAAATCTTCATTCTTTTGGATGGCACCAACCTCACCGTCCCTGGGCGGACGAGGTATCACGTCCGGGCGGCCTTGACTCGTTTAGCGCAGTCCAATGAGACTACGACTCTCAGCGCCTCGGGCGATGCGGGAACTTTGGCGAATTTGATCCAGTTTGCTACGGGAAATCATTAGAATTCCCGGAACGAAATGGATGTTTTAATGGGAAAACATTTATTATACATACATACATATATAATCATAGTATATCTATCTATCTTATCTTATCTTATCCTATCCTATCCTATCCTATCCTATCCTATCTATCTATATCTATATATATCTATATATATATATATACAATTATATACACATAAATGGGTTATATCCTCGGGGAATATTTTTGACGTTGCTTTGGGTGCCATCGCCCGGTTCCATGATTCACGGATGAAATGTGTGTGTTTTCCTCAGCAAAATTGGGAGGAATATCACCAAAGCAACAGGCGGAATATCACCAAAGATCATGTGGATTATACAATGGCCTATAATTTTGCAGGGCTGACACTTTTTGGGACTGCTTGACATGGATACACGGCAATGGTTATGGTTCAAACGATTACAGTAAGACCCAGGGAATGTCTAGGAAACCCAACGCCAGATGGAAAAACATCAGGAAAGCAGTGTAGATGCACATATGATACATCACAAGATGCTGCGCTTCACAATACTATATAAATCTATAATACACATAAATCTACAATATATATATATGTATATATATACACTATATTACTATATAATTATATATATAATTATATACATTATATACATACATATATCAAGTGGATGTACAGAAATCGAAGTTGACATCACCATCGCCCCGCAACAACAGCATAGCCACAATGGCTCTCCCAGGTGGTGATCCCGGGTTTCGGAAGTTGCTGTCCCGCACGAGCGAACTGATGACAACCTTCAGGTGGGAAGTCGAGTGAAGATGGGGGTGAGTACCTATGATTTTTTTCGACCTCACTGGTTATTTAAGGATAATTAGTTGCATCAGTTGCATCCCTCATCCCCACTTATGAGGTTTGCATTCCATGGTAATGTTGTAAGTGGTTCTACGTGTTTGATGTGTAGCGGTTGAGTTGGGCTTTTCATCTCAACTATTAGAGCTAAAATTCCATGGAACCAATTTGTTGGACCCCACACCCCCACGTAGGTCCTACGAACATGTAGACCTGGTGCTGAAACTTGGGGGTGCATCCCAGTCAAGGGAATGGAGGTTGTCCCCCATTTTCAGCATGGGGTTCATTAATATCCATTTTTTTTTCGGAATCACCCTGGTGGAATGACAATGCCTTATACATTTCTACCATGTTTTGACACCAACACATGTAGACATGTGTTGACATGCAAGTCTATTCATACATCTATGTGCTGTTTGGAGGCTCGAAAGCCACCTATTTCTTGTATCCTCAGCTTCTTTCTTCCATTGGTTAACAACATGCACATCAAATATATGTATATATATATACTGGTTGGTGGTTTCAAGCATTTTTTTGAGTTTCCATAATATATTGGGAATAATCCTTCCCATTGACTTTCATATTTTTCAGAGGGGTAGGTATACCATGGTATACCACCAACCCAACCAGATATATATCTCATGTGGTAAACTGTCACCGCCGTAAACTGCCGTAAAGCTACCATGACTGGGGATGGACTTGGCAGATCGCAAGCCTTGGCCACGGTGCTCTGGTCTCTTGCCAAGGCCATGGGCCGACTAGGCATTTTTCAGTGCTGAGCATCCAGGGAATTTCTTAGGTTGGTAATAGAGTATTTTGCAATATTTTAGATGATTTTCGATGATTTTCAATAGATTCGTTGTTTGCATTTGTCTGCTATGGTTTTACATCGGCTTTTTCTGCGTTTTGCCATGGTTTTACCATGGGTTTCTATCATGCCTAGAAATGGACTCCTGCAACGTGGACAGCAGGGCTACCTTGGAACCTATCACATCTATTCACATCTGGGATATGGAGGTTTCCCTACAATGGGTATATACCATCATTGAAGCGTCTCGACTTAGTGACTAAGTCTCTAGTCATAGGGGTTCATATAGCCATTGTTTCAAGCAATGCCCAAGCCAGGTGGAATATGATCCGGGAGAGCCATTCTTGCGTTCTGCAGCTTGAGCTCTGCAAGAAGTGGGAATCTACCTGGGGGGACGGTCTCAAATTTTGAAGCAGAATTCCTTGGTTCATCTATGTTCATCATTTAGATGTTTCCTAAACTGGGGGTATGCCAAGTCAACACAGGTTTCAATACTAAGTCATGGTTGATTGACTTGGAAGATTTAGGGGTACCCATGGGTACCCCTGTTTTAAGAAACCCGCATTTTTTTTCCATTGAACTGGACATTATTGCAGCATCGATGATTTGGAAAGCCTGACTTCTTGTATGTGACAGTTGTAGCTTTTAATCCGGCATATTCCAGTGATGAAGCCCCACTTGACCTACCCTCTGGTAAACGTTTACATAGCAATGGAAAGATCCACCATGTTTAATGGGAAAATCCACTATTTCTATGGCCATTTTCAATAGCTACGTTAGTCATTACCAGAGGGTAGCTGGTTGCTGTTTTCAAGCCTTTGTTCTCTTCCACGATCCCCCAATGGGATGAATTTGACTATGTTCGGGGGGTGAAACCACCGAGCATCCCAGAACGGTGATTCTCTTCCGACTCCTCCATATAAACATCAATATAAACTATGTTTCAAAGATATGTCCATTAATATCCATTTAATATTTCCTTGATACCCATACTTTACAGAAACCTGGTGTCTTGGTCTCTAGGTCATTGACGCCTCGCTGCCTCAGCTGAAACAGTCCAAGCCGCAGGACGTCTGGTGATTTTCGCCGCCAAAAACATCTTAATATCAGAATATATGACAATCGAAAGTTTATGTTCCTAATTAATAAGCTAAAACAGTAGATTCGGGAATAGGTCGAATAGGGAATAGGTCGGTCATTATACCATGAATGGAGAAGGAAGTCTAACTGGCCATTTGGGACAGCTCTCAGTGCTTTGCAAAAGCTGCCGTGCAGCACACTGCAGCGAGTTGTTGCGGTATGTTGTGGTCTTAACTGATCGAACCTGGGCAGCCCCAATAATGTCTCCAAAACGTGGCTACTAAGTAGGCGTTGGGGTAAACACCACCCTACAAGATGACCACAAATTGATTTATAAACGTCTCCAACTCCAACTATCGATATATCCAACATATATCCAACATATATCCAACATGAACATCTCAGCTATTCCTAGTCAAATACTCCAACTTACATATCATATGGCTATATCCAAGTAATTTCAAAGGAAGTTTAGTTGGGAAACTTCCAAGTTACGGACGATTGTCATGGTTAGCATTCCCACCATCATGTCAACCACATCACCATGTCAACCACCGTGCGACGCTCCTGCTGTGCGGGTTTGCAACCGGTTGCGACAAAACGCATTGGCACGGCTATGCGCAGCAAAGAATTGGGTCGCTACAGAAGAGCTAGCTGGGAGGCAGGTCAGAGCAGCCCAAATAAGTGGCTCAGTGAAGAAGTAGCTCAACAAAGAAAAGTGGCTCGCCCACCGGTCCATTCATTTATCCATCTATCCATCCCTTCCCTCATTGCTTCATGAATTCAAGTGGCTCGCCCACCGGTCCATTCATTTATCCATCTATCCATCCCTTCCCTCATTGCTTCATGAATTCATTGATTCATGGATTCAATGATTCATTGGTTCATTGGCGCATTGATTCATTGACTGATTCATTGATTCACGGGCATCCCAAGTCACCATAGGTTTCAATATTAAAATGGTCTAATGACTTGGATGATTTGCGCGCAACCCCCCCATTTTAGGAAACTTCCATATCCTCATGTTTGTTGCTCAAGCACTCCATTATTAACCGCTATTAACCACTATTAACCATGATTTCCCGTTATTGACTATACTTAAATACTATGTGCAGCAACACTACTAAACAGTCACTAGTGTAGTGGCCCGCCCCAGCCATCCGAAGGAGATGGTGAACAGCCTCTGGGCCTGCGCCCGTTTTGGCTACCAACCCGGTGACGCCTTCCTGGAGGCCAAAAAAATGGCAAGGTAGTAACTGGGGGGATGGGAAACGCCCGATTTCCCCAGAAAGTTCAATGGCAATTTTCCTAGGAACTGGTTCGATGATGAGAGAGAATCGATGGATACGAATTGGATATAATGATATCACCAACAATATACCGATTTATGGTGGTATTGAGCACTTTTTGGGCGGTGAAACATCAGTGAATAGAAAAACGTCATCATGGTGAACTTGCCAAACATTGCGGATGTCTACAGACATCTGCCCCAGCTGGGCAGCCGAGGCCTTAGTGGACACCAGCAGTAGTACCATGGACGACTTTGAACCAATGGACGTGGCCAATCTCCTCTGGTCCTTTGCCAGGTGGGACTTAGGACTGGTGGGTTCAAAGATCAGGACGTTGATCCTACGGTGTAGCTGTTTGACCTGTGTTTCATATGAATGCCGACGAGGATTTCAGCGCATGATTCGGTGGTTCCGGCAGGGGGATGATGTGACAACCAGACGGTCACATCGGGAAAATGATGATCAAACAGTGGATTTAGGAGACTTTTCATACAAACCCTGGCCAATCTCCTGGCAGGTTGGGTTTCCATCCTGGCAACCATTTCCTGGATGCAGCCGGGGCCTAGATCTTGTGACATCTTGTGACACTGTGGTTTCTGGGCCTGGGGATCTTGGATACTCCAGGGTGACTTGATTTAATTTGTATATATATATATACAGAGACTGTTTTTTTTCAAATGTTGTTAAACCAACTTATTTCTGGGGGCCGACCTTGAAGTGCTTGCCACTGGCAGAACAATTAGCTGGTATGAGTTCGTCCCCAAAGATGGTCCGGCATAGACCCAGCCCCAACTCCAGTGGGGAAGACGTTTTCGTTGTACGTGATTTTCGTGGCCTGAAGGTAGTATGTCCACTGAAGGTCAGTAACTATAGAACTACGTGACTACGAGAGATCGGAAGTACAAAGATAATGGGGTGAGGCATGTTGAGGCAAACAGATTGACCGGACCATTTTCAAGATCCTGTACCCATCCTGTTCCACGTCCCAAATGAATGTGTTGGTGTGGCGGTTGGAATGCCGCACACATAGTACAAACAAATTCAGGTTAAGGATATAATGGTGTATGAATTATATGTAGCTATGTATGTACACTACACTATACATCTATACTGCCTACAACAGAAACAAGCAAGCAAGCAAGCAAGCAAACAAAGCAAACAAAGCAACAAACCAGCAAGCAAAGCAAAGCAAACAAAGCAAACAAAGCAACAAACCAGCAAGCAAAGCAAAGCAAACAAAGAAACAAACGAACAAAGAAACATGCCTATCTGGCATGAGGCCTTAAAATCCCATGGCGCCCATTTCGGATTTTTTTGAGCACAGCACGACCAGAGGTGGTGGCTCGTTCATTAGAAATCGTTCAGAGTTTTGCTCCTGCGACTTGGCGACGACTCGACTCATTCCGTTGTGAGCCCCCGGGGATGCTAGCCATTTTAAAATACCCAAAAGGTTCATAGTGGACACAAAACCAGTGGCTATTTATGTTTTTTTTTTTTCGGGAAGTCTGAATCTAGGTCTATCTATTGATCTATTTCAATAGTACCTAGTGGTTTTTGTTGTGGGTATCATCAGTGTTTTTTTTGGGAAGTCTATCTCAATTCGATTGCTGCAGAGCCCGCTGGTTGGAATCCATGGGATTCCGAAAAAAAAAACGAATGTCGCATCGATGCGAGTCAGAACCTCACACACCACAAAAAGGTATATCTATATAGATTCATAGATGAAGCAGCCACTGAATGAACAAATGGTATAAGTCAAATGTGCCCAGAATTGTTGTCAAATGGGCTATTTCATTCGGCTAGAAAAAAAAATTATTCCAGTTGTACCGTTGTGATGTTTTTCACTGCGGTTTTTCCCAGCCCTACCAGGTGGACATTGCAAACATCCTCTGGGCTTTTGCCAAGTTGAAGGTAGACGAAGGGGAGCGGCTGAGACCTTTGTTGCAGCAGGCGGAAGAACAGCTGGACAGCTACTTGGGGTTGCGGATCAGGAGCCGGCCACGTGGGATGCGAAGTTTGGTCCATGGAACCAAGGACAATGGGGGAAACATTGGTTTTTCATGGGAGCATGATCGACTTCTCAACGAACATCCTGAAAATGCCATATTTTAGGGTAGACATGCCCCATTTTATGGCTATATTCATGCGGAAGGTGATCAACCAACATTAAGCATGAGATTTTGGGGCACCCTTGGTTTGGACTTCCATATGTTGAACTGGCCAGTGAGACATGTGGTGAACTGGATGGGAGTTGGATGCCCTTTCTGGGATGGTGTGAATTTATTGGGAGCCCCTTTTTTCGCAGATCTGGAGACTTTTTTTCTTTTCGCACGGGAATTCTGTAGTTTTTTGATTTACTATCAACATCTACCAAAGATGGCATCTGAATCTCAAGTCTAGCTGGTTGGTGGTTTGGAACATGAATTTTATGACTTTCCATTCAGTTGGAAAGTTCATCATCCCAAGTGACGAAGTCCATCATTTTTCAGAGGGGTGGCTCAACCACCAACCAGAAAAGGTTATTAACCATCATTAACCATATATTAACCATTATTAACGGTATATTAACCATTAGGGTAGGGCTCAACCACCAACCAGCTAAACTCTGAAACGCACCTGGGTATTCAGATCCAAGGCTTTGAACCTGCAAAGCTGGCGAGTCTCTTGTGCCTTGGAGCGAGCCGGTCAGCTAAAAACGATATTTCATCTCAATCTCCAAATCTAAAATTAACTATCATTATATAACCATCATTAATCTATCATTCACCATCATTAACTATCATTATATAACCATCATTAATCTATCATTGATCATTATTAACTATCATTAACCATCATTAATCTATATATTAATCTCATTGAATTTTTTTCACATCCCAAGGTGACGAACATCCCAAGGTGGTCCTGCAACAAGTTGCAGCTGGACCCCAGCCTGGTGCTGCTGCGCGCCTTGCCGTGCCGCAGCAACCGGGAACTCACAGAGCTCCGTTGCCCGGTTCAATGTGACGGGAGAAGCAGGTGCATGGTGATTTGCCTATCAAGTCCTATGGGGAAATCACCATTTATATATAACTGGTTAAACATATCTAAAAATGGTGATTTCCAATTTCCCCTAGGTGTCAAACTCACCAGAAACTAGCAACTAAATGGGGAAACATATGATTTAAATGGTGATTTGCTAAGGATTTACTGGGTTAATGGTGGTTTTAAATGCTTGTTTTAAATGGTGATTTAATGGGTTCATGATATAACAACCATAAAATGGGGATGAATTGGATGAATGCTAGGATATTAACACTGAATTGTCAATCGCTGATGGATAAACAATAGTTTAAGGATGTTTTTTTTGGATATACGATATATGGAACATCGACATTTTTAATGACAAATCATCATGAATGATCTAGTAACACCCGTAACAACACTGAAAAAATGGGATGAATAGATCAGTTGGGATACCCTCTGGTAAACGTACAAAAAGCTATTGAACATGGCCATTTATAGTGAGTTTTCCCATTAAAAATGGTGATTTTCCATAGTTATGTTAGTTTACCAGAGGGTATAACCAATGGATTAGCAGCAATAATTTCAATGGGGATGTTAGATGCCGTACTACGGATGTAACAATAACCATCACTAAACATAGTTAAATGATGGGGGTAAATAGAATTCATGGATCTAATATAAGACATTCTGAAAATCAAAATAACAATCTCTGAATCCCAATAACAATCCAGTAATCAATATTGATCCCAATGATATAACAACTATAGCGATACTGAACATTTGGGATTAATGGAGTGGGGATCAATGGGAATGTACCAGCAACACGGCGTCCAAGAAAACGAGGTATGATCAGATTGGGCAATAATAAAGACGTTGGGTTTTAAATGGCTGAATGGGATTTAATCAACAGAGATCTGATATTTACCCTCTGGTAAACTAACAATCATAGCTATGAAAAATCATAATTTTTAATGGGAAAATCAACTATTTCTATGGCCATTTTCAATAGCTATGTTAGTTTACCAGAGGGTACCCACAAACGTATAAATACGGTGTTGTTGCCAAGAAGTCTTCATATCTAAAGCAAAAAATCTGATGTTTGACTGACAGTGAGGTGTGCAAGGCATGGATTTTATGAACACATCTGCAGCTCAGTGGGAGGATCTTGCTACGTACGTGTTGTTTTTTTGTTGGTGGTCCTCCTGATGACAGGTCCGCGGGGCTTGTCCTACGTCCTATGGGTTTATGGCTTGCTTGGCCATAATCCAGGCAGGATGGCTGGTCAGATTTCAATACCGCCCCAGATATTCTGATCATTTTTCAGCAGCACTTTCTGAATGGGGAGTACTTTTGACCCACGAATTGATATGACTGTGGTGGTATCGGGCCCCTGCGGCGAAATATATATATATTATATATATATTATTATATATATATACATATATTTCAACAGTGGTCTGAGTTGGAACCATCCCCAAGTTTCCCCAACAGTTTCAACCCCAAGATTTTCCATGGATTCAATGGACAAAAAAACATGTAAAACACCATTGTTTCGTTGTACTGTAGAATTTCAGCCCGGTGAGATGTCCATCCCAAGTTTTGTGAGGCACGGCCTTTTTGCAGCGCGTCATGGAGAAGCTGAGCAGAGACTGGGCAGAATTCCAGGAGTTTTTCAAGGCATTCTTGGGGCTGGGAAACTGGTTATAGAATTTGTGATAATTAAAAACACAAGAAACCTTAGCAGTGTTCTTAAGCTCCAACTTGGGCGTTTCGAACATTTTTGACTCAAAACGTCTCAAAACCAATCAAAATCAATCTTGAAACTTGGGAACCGTTTGTTTTAAGAGTCTCAAGAGTGATAACTTGGCGGTGTAGCCCAACCTGGGATGATGATCTCGGTAACCAGCAGGGGCGCTTTGAAAAAATTGGGTGGTTTATCAAGGAACGTAGAGATGTTTTTTTTAATGATCGAACAGTGAATTCTTGGGCCCAACTGTGATATTGGGAGAAAAAAAACATGAGTTGTGGGGATTTTACTGGGGTAGTCAACAAAAAATCGGGGTGTTGACCATTGAAAGTGGGTATAGTGAACTGGTTGGTGAGACATTCACCTGAGATTGTTGGGGCCGGGGTGTTTAGTCTTGACATGTTTTCACTTTGATTCACCAGGAACTAGAGATATCTTATCTGACCAACAGAAGTGGGACTTTCACAAACACTCTGTCACATATTCATATACCTACACTACATAGCGAATTGTATTGTAAGGGTCAGTTTTGTCATAGGATAGATTGCCACCATGTGGCACAATCTATAGGTGTACCACGAGAATCATGGCGTTCAATCTGCGATGCTTGCTGCAGGAACAGTGCCAGCCTTTGACTACTGCGGGGCGCAAGGCTCGGAATTCCCTTTAAGGGAACGCTTGCAGGAAAAAACGATTTCTTTCCACCAAATCACAGGCTGTTCTGTACATGTTCCCTTTATCCAAGTCTGAGACATATTGCTTGTGCTCAGCTAGGTGTATTTTGAGGCAAACATTTTGCCAAACTTGTTCTGCAAACAGAATTAATAGATATAAAATCAGATAAACTTATCATGAAGAAATATCAAGGGAAACTGCTTCATCAATCTCCTTCCCCCAATCACGACAATAATCACCTTTCCAGAACTTAGCTATTTTGATAGTGGATTTTTCCATTTTTGGCTTCTCATTTCAGGATTCCTTGCGTGTTAGGGGTACACTGCAACCAGCAGCTCTGTCCTGGCGGTTTTCATGTTCAGGCCTTTCGGGCATCCTGTGGTCTTGCGCCCGCTTCAATTATGATCCGGGCGAAGAACAGGCGCATCGCGCCAGCGGGGTCCAGAAGGGATATTGATGTTACCCTCTGGCAAACTAACATAACTATGGAAAATCACCATTTTTAATGGGAAAACTCACTCTGAATGGCCATTTTCAATAGCTTTTTGTATGTTTACCAGAGGGTACTAGCTGGTTCATTGGGGTTTGTAACCCACAATGATACAATGGGATGTCTATCTACCACTGCCACCCACTCTGACTGCCATAGGCTTGACTTGACTGCTTAAAGCTACCCTGTCAGTGCGGGAAAGTATCATTGGGACAGCAGGCACAGAATTTTGGTATCCTCTGGTAATCAAACATGGCAATGGCAATCATCCATTTATAGATGATTTTCCCATCAACACCTCCAGTTAGTGAGGATTTTCCATTGCCATGTTCGATGTCCAAAGGGTAGAGATGCTATAGCTTTATCCCACTGCTATGCTCAACGGCAGCCGCTGGCCGCATGAGCTGCTGGTTCTACTGGTTTTTCCAATGAGTTGGACCCGGGAAACCTCCCAGATTCATTCTGCTTCGGAAGAACCACGGGACAACATGGGACAACCATCCTTCAACATTTGAATTAAAGAGAATGAACATCATGTTCGAAGGTGGCTTCACTTTCCATGCTTCTTTCTTTCTTTCTTTTTTGTGATCATTAATATAATAATAATCACTAGTAACAATTATTATTACAAAAGTAATCACTATTAACAATCATTATTACTATTATTATTACTATTGAAATTTCAATCGTTACAAAGACACATCGAATCTTGGCCCCCGGATGCGGTCGAGGTGACAGCTTTGCTCTCTTCGGCCCAGCAGCACTTGCTGCAGTTCACTCCAGCGCAGTTGACTCGACTCCTCTGGGCCTGTGCCAAGTGCCATGGCGTGCCCGAAAATTTTCCTGCAAATCCGGTAACATCTGAAATCTTGAGGTTTTGAATCCTGAGATGGTCAGGATATGTCAGGATGCAATCCCATGAAAATGAATAGATTGAATGTGATTGAATGTGATTGAATAGATCCTGAAAATGATCGAACATTCATGTCAAAACATGCCAAAATTAAAAGCGATCGACTTGCAGCGTGTCACTTCAAGAAAGGCAAGATGGATGGTGTTTCATCCCGACAATCTGGGATTCAACCTCTGGGATACCCACCTGCCATGAAGGTCACTTTTTTGTGCGGCTGCAGTGCCTGAAACTCTTTGTGGAAAATGATCATCACCCATCATCACCCATCATTTTTGGAGTTTTCCATATAGTTTTCCCTAAATTTTCTGCAAAGCCACTTGGCTCCAAGTGGTGTTTTGATGTTTTTTGGGGTATGTTTTTGGGTCATGTTCATCACCTCGGAGCCGAGGCTGCAACGGAGGCCCAGAGAAGAATTTCTGCAGGCTGTCTCCGGGTTTAGGGGCCCCAAGAGAATTTTCATTTCGCGGAGGTTTCGAAGATCCCTCGTTGATAGATTTGATAGTGAAGTTGGGATAGTTCGGATTGCCCTCCACTGAAGAAACTGATTTTGATGGAGATGTCTGGCTTGCCAGGCATGGTTGGAGCAGGCAAGAAAGCACCTGCCGGACTTTGAAGCTGAGGTGTCTCGGGGACACTGAAACTCAGACAGCTGCCACATGAAAGCAGATAGTCACCTAAATGCAGACCATGTCACTGGCAAGCTTCACGAGCTGACATGGCTTTGGCTCCTACTCTAAACACGATCGATTGCACGGATCCCTTGGTTCCTTATTTTAGGACATTGTTTATCTGATCTGGTTGGTGGTGGTTTGGAACATTTTTTATTTTTCCATATATTGGGAATAATAATCCCAACTGGCTTTAATATTTTTCAGAGGGGTAGGTATACCACCAACCGGCGATTCATTCTGATCCCCACATCGAAAAAACGCTGACTTCCAATTCAAAAAAGAATTCTATCCTTCTGTGTGCTAGAGGAGCTGCTACTTTGCCATCGCAGTTTCAATCAGTTGAACTTCACTGAGGGAGAAGTTGCTGGTCTGCGGATGGATTGGAACTAGTGAGAACCCCCTTCAGAAATTGGGGTTCATCATACCCCGAGACTGCGAAGGCGCATGGTTTTCTTGCGAAAACTAGATTCTAATCACGGAAGAAGGATGGAAAATAGCGAAGAAATCTATTTCGGGTTGGTGGTTTCAAACATGTGTTATTATTCCATTTCATATATGGGATGTCATCCAAAACCCATTGACGAACTCCATCATTTTTCAAGATGGTTAAAACGCACCACCAACCGATTGCACCCTATCAACAGAGAGTAGCCTACGCAGAACATTTCTTGGGCACCTCGAAAGGATGAAGAAAAAATCGCCAGGTGCTAACTTTGAGCTCTACATTTCTCCCACTTTTAGGGCATAACTTTTATTGAGAAGTTGTTTTTTTCCCCACATATATATATATACATACATATATATATATATTATATACATATGTTTTTTTTTTTCCGCAACTAAGATGTTTCATTCAGTAAACATCCACGGTTTTACGCAATTGGAACGTACTTTGGCAAGATCACAATGTATCATGATGTATCATGATGTAATGATGTATGGGGATGGGTCAATAATTAGCTATGATACATGCTGCTTGTTGAATCCCTACTACATCCCTGTTGACTACTCACTTGTTGCTGTTGGCGAAATACTTATTGGATCTTATTGGTTACCATCTGGTTATTTAACATAGCCATGGAAAGATCCACCATGCTATTAAGTTCGGTAAACCATCTATTTCCATTAGGGCCATGGCTTAATGGCTTAACCATGGCGAACTGTTAGTCATAACCAGAGGCTACTCCTTACAACCCCAATTGTGTTCCCATCCCGGGTGATCCCTCCCCAGTGATCCCTCGAACCGAGGCTTTGATGAAACCGACTTGATCCGAGCGTGGCCCTCCAGTGCCGACACAGCGGCCTGGTGTGGTCATCGCGGCTGAGGGCGAATGGCGAGCCCATTGTACATAGTTTCGGTTTAGATGTCCCAAAAAAGCCCAAAAAAGTGAGTTGATAGGCTTGGATATTGATGTTTGCAGGTTATCTTGTTCTTTCATCTCTGAAACAAGTCCTTTCCGCTTCTGCCAATTCAATTTTTCTTTGGCTTGGACCAGTCAATTTGAAGTGAAATTATAAAAACCAACGCCAATCATTCTCCAGAAACGCATGCTACGTTGTATCTGTGAATATATTTCGGGTACACTCCTAACTCACTGGGTAAAATACAACCTTGGTACCAGTATGTGAAAGCTCAATGAATGCCATGGGGAAAGATTTGATACCCGGCTAAATATGTTTTTTTTGGCAGCGTATCTTAAGCTACAAAGTTTCTATGTGCATTGCTTCCATCCCAGTTTTATATAGTTTTCTTGGATGGTTTAGGGCAGGGGCATGGAACTACTACGGCATATCACTCTCAACTTGCAGCCTGGCCTGTGTTTGGCAGAAGCCAAACCCGGAGATTTTTAGATGTCAGCCTTAGGCCTGGCCCCAAAAATGAATAGGGAACACTTACATCATATGGGTGTGTCTGAAAATAGTGTACCCCGAAACCCAATGGTTAATGATCATTATCCCTATGAAATGGCTATAATTGGGAATATACCCTATTTTCAGACAAACCCATATACATAATATTACATAATTACATCATATACATCAATATACAACTATCAAAACCATTCAAGTCATTCAAGTGTTGGATATACATAATCTGGTTGGTGGTTTGGAACATTGCTTTTATTTTTCCATCCAGTTGGGAATTTCATAATCCTAACTGATGAACTCATATTTTTCAGAGGGGTGGCTCAACCACCAACCAGTTAATAATTAATGGTAGTTGATAACATTCAATGACACCAAAAAATAGCTAATAGATAGTGTTTCATAATGGTGTTATTGATGATTAATAATTTCATAAATGGTTAACATTTAATGACACCAAACACTAATAAATGGTGGTTAATAATGGTTAGTCGGGAAAGAATCATATATAGTTAGTTGATGTTAGTTGATTCTGGATGGCCCGACTGAACTGTTGCCGCACGGTGTCTTGCGTGTCGCCAAAGCTAGGAGCTTGGCGGGACAGACATTCAGGGCATCATCGGAGTTGTGGATTCGCTATCTTGCTCAGAGCTATACATATATATATACATATACTATAGTGTGTATATAATATATATATATATATGTATACACCGTATACACTATATAAGACTATATAATGTATTATTATTATACTATATATAGTTATATATATATATACATACTGCATATGTATATATATATATATATACATACACACTGTGTATATATATATATGGACTACAGGATCAACCATTGATTGTGTGACTTGGTGATTTCAGACATCTCAAGCTCTACCAGGTGAAGCGAAGCGGGTCTCCGAGTGTGGAGATTCACCGAGCAAAATTCTTCATGATTTCATGGAAAGAGCTCATCATATAGCTTATAATAGTGGTAACATAGATTATTAACCACTATTATGAAATCTATTAACATAATGATTACTGTAACCCCTCTGGTAAACAAACAGTTTGCTATTGAAAATGGCTAGAAATAGTTGATTAACCCAGCTATAAAATGGTGATTTTCCATAGTTATGTTAGTTCACCAGAGAGTATATATATATAACACATCTAGGATTTGGGGATATTTGGCGTATATTAATCTGTTTTTGCGGATCAATCCAGCATGTCACTGTTCGAATGTGACCATAGGATTCTGGGCTGCTACGATGGCCTTCCTATTTTCTTATTTTACTACAGTATATTCTACTTAGGTTTTCCTCCTGTCTCATCATATTCCTTTTTTTTGGTGGACCGTGGACCATTGGATCAAACTTTGCGGATGCTCCCAAAGGCGTAAGTTGTCGCGATATTCATAGAGACAAGTCAGGGGCGAGACACATTCAGTAAGTCATATCTGGTGAATATGTGAGTTTCCCATCCGGCTTCCAAATTGTGCAATCTGTACTTATCTCATTCTCATTATATATGAATATGTATGAATATGTATATATATATGATTATATATGTATCAATAATATCCCTCCTACTGTAGGAAAAACAATCCTTCATTATCCGACCATATCCCACTTCGTTTATCAGGTCCTTATATGGAAGCCCGGCACATGCTCTACACGTTAGTTGTAGCTCAACGTTTCGAGGTGTCGCCCATGACATCCCATGACTTTTGGAGTCGATTATGTTTCACCGCAAGGGCTCGATGTCACTATGTTCCGAAAAAGCTTGCGGTGCAATTCAGCAGGTTGAAAAACAAAGGTTTTCGAAGGCACCAAAGTTTGGTTCACCCAGTTTTGTTTTGCACTCCACTAAACTTCCATTTGCATATGGACATCGATATAATTTGTTGTCCCTATATTATGTGGAGGAAGAAATGCAAGATCTACAAACGGTAGGTTTTTAATCCGAAGATTTATTCGTTGCGTGGAGGATAACAGGAGAAATCAGGATAAAAAGCATACAAAATTATATGAAAAACCCAACATGTATGTAGATCATTAAAGCTGAACGGGTAAAAACGGTGAAAACCCCATTGCTTTTCCACATCAGCAGTAAGCAGGTTGGATCGCCGCGGCTCGTCTGGAAGAGGTAGCTGGTAAGGCCCGGAGCAGAGCAGTTGTTCTACCATGGTTTCACCGGAGGAAATGGACAAAAACAATCAAAAACACTATGACGCATGGGGTTTTTCAGCCATGTTAAACGTGTTTTTTTCATGGATATCATGTTTAAGCATGGCTAAAATATATGGCTGAAAAACCCCATGAAAATCATGGATCTCACCCTCCCATCATGGCGAATCCCTGACAGGTGCAGTCCGCTCGACAGCTGATTGCCCAAGGGTGCAAGCATTGCCCCAACAACGAGGAGCCGTTTTTTCAGGGGCCGTGAAGTGATGGCGACTGCGACTTTTGCCCTTTTGGTACTCATTGGTATTCATTGGTACTCAAACAGGGATGTTTGGAAAATGTCTATTAGATGCTTGGCAAAGCATATAAGGTTGGGGTTTCCGGCCACATTTGATGACCAGAGGGTTATTTCATTTGCATCCCACTACTAGCCACCTGCATAGATGCCACCGGCAATCAGATTCTGAACATCCAAGTAGTGGCTGATGGAGAGAAGTGCACGGCTGCGAGATGAAAAGATACCTGGTTGGTGGTTTGGAACATGAATTTTATGACTTTCCATATATTGGGAATAATCATCCCAACTGACTTTCATATTTTTCAGAGGGGTTCAAACCACCAACAAGAAACTAAATGAATCACTGGCCACTTGTCACAAGATGTCACAATGGGTATTACGCCCTCCTGCTCAGGCATGGGTACCCTAAACGCATGAGTTTTCTGTTTCAAACATGTTGTTCCATGTTGTTCCATCCCTAGTTTCAGATCCAGCAACTCGTAAAGAAAAAGAAACATGACATCTGTTGCAAGGTTGGTTGAAGAAGCGAGCCAGTTCAGAGAGTCAGAGAGTCAACAGTTGTACTTTTTTGTCATGATCCTTTCTGTCAGTGCTCAACTTTGCACGTTTATAGATCCTGGTGGTGACTCATTTTGAATTGTCAATGTTACTTGATTAGTCACTTGATTAAGACCATGTGTTTGTTGGCCTAATTGCATTTTGGTTGGTCAAGTACCCATTTCTTGTTGGTTAAAACCACTGAATGTCACAGATCTAATTGGTTCTTGCATCTGCCTTGTTTAGTGATCACTCATAATTACTGACAGATATTAAGATATTAAGATATATTCAGATATATCAGCAATCACTAGTACTGCATTATTCATCACTATATAGCAAGATATATAGTGGCATATAGCCAACAATCACTAATAATCACAATTATAATCACTATTCATCACTTATAATCACTATTTATCACTTATAATCACTATTTATCACCATATACCTAAGTAATCATCATATAAATTCACCACCCCAGCGTCTGACGTCGATTCTAAAACACCACCCCCGTCTGGAGCGATCTCCAGGATGTTTGGCTTGAGGCCGCCCGCCTGGAAAAGCCGGCCAACGCCAAGGCCGTGTTGGCCAAGGCGCTTTTTTCGAATTTTCCGCGCGGCGGAGGAACTCCCCAAAAAGATAGAAGTTTGTCGTAGATTTTTTTGGCAAAAAATATGGTGATTTTTGTGACTTTTCTATATTTCTGGTGATTATATATATATATATATGAATTATATATGAATTATTGTATGTATATTTCTATATGTACATACTTAGTGAACCTGAAGGTATGTATATATATAATATTCTGTCATAGTATATAATCCCATACCCAAAAGATTAAACACACCCAAACATGGGTCCCAATATGTAGAAATCCCTTACGGGATTCCCATTATAGCGTGTAGCATGTCGCATTTTTTTACCATGGCACATATGGAATATATTATATATATATACATGAACGATAAAAACAAATAGTAAAAGGGGGTTAAAGATTGTTTTGACCACAATTATATACAGATTGATTCAGATATAGAATATTGTAGTACATAGAATATTACATTATAAACATGATATAATATATGTGTATATGTATCACATATCGGTGTAGCTATTTTCAGGAGATAAGGTCTACTCAGGCGGACATTATAACGACCTCACTTCGCGACGTTTGGATTGGGGTGACCAATGTATCATCCAGGTCAGCCAGGTCTGTCTGAAACTTACTGGTGAGTTTTACGCAGGGAATTTTCGGGAATGATCCCACTAAATCACTAGTAATAATCATCCCAGCAACCCCCGGCAACCCATCCATTCCCATCCATTCCCTACGTTTAGCACCAGTAAGGAAATTTCACGGAATTTCATACTGGGGGAGAGACATACCTCAAAACCAAGCAGATCACATGATTCAGATCGCGCTAGTGGAGTATGGCGACGATGGACTTGGGAATAGACAAAAACAGTTGGAGCATGGGATTTACATGTCCCATCTGTTGAAATCCAATTCGACTGCAAC